CTAGGAGCCCTCATACTATTGACCCCCCCCAAGCACCAAAAATACAGAGCATCCCTTGCCCCAGACCAAGAGTTCCTGTCTAGACCTTGTGGCTAATACCCACTGATGGACCTCTGCTCCATATGTTTATCCAATTCCCTCTTATAAGAACAGGAGAGAAGCCAATGTTGGATCAGGCCAATGGCCCCTCCAGTCCAACACTCTGTCACACAGTGGCCAAAGATACCAGGTGCTATCAGGAGGTCCAGCAGTGGGGCCAGATGACACTAGGAGTCCTCCCACTGTTGCCCCCACCCCAAGCACCAAGAAGACAGAGCATCCCTTGCCCCAGACCAAGAGTTCCTATCTATACCTCGTGGCTAAGAGCCACTGATGGACCTCTGCTCCATATGTTGATCCAATTCCCTCTTATAAGAACATAAGAGAAGCCAATGTTGGATCAGGCCAATACCCATCCAGTCCAGCACTCTGTCACACGGTGGCCAGAAATACCAGGTGCCATCAGGAGGTCCAGCAATGGGGCCAGGACACCAGAAGCCCTCCCACTGTTGCCCCCCCAGCACCAAGTTCCTATCTATACCTTGTGCCTAAGAGCCACTGATGGACCTCTGCTCCATATGCTTATCTGATTCCCTTATAAGAACATCAGAGAAGCCAATGTTGGATCAGGCCAAAGGCCCATCCAGTCCAACACTCTGTCTGTCACACAGTGGCCAAAAATACCAGGCACCATCAGGAGGTCCAGCAGTGGGGCCAGATGACACTAGAAGCCCTCCCACTGTTGCCCCACCCCCAAGCACCAAGAATACAGAGCATCCCTTGCCCCAGACTGAGAGTTCCTACCTACACCTTGTGGCTAATAGCCACTGATGGACCTCTGCTCCAGATGTTCATCCAACTCCCTCTCGAAGCTGTCCATGCTAAGCCGACCCTGGCCGGGAGGGCAGGGTAGAAGTTTAATCAAATCAAATCAAAGCAGCCATTTTCTCCAGGGGAACTGATCTTAGTCCTTTGGAGGTCAACAGAAATAGTGGGCGATCTCCAGGTGCTACCTGGAGGCTGGCAACCCTAAACAGGAGTGTTTGCCTTATCTATAAAACCCGATGGATTTAGCAGAAGTCTAATGCATTAGTTTTATACTGAGTTCCTTTTATGGAGGAACATTTTGGAAAAGAGGATGGCCAAATTTTAACCACTTACTATCCTCCAACAACTTATGTCTTGTAACTATTCCCCAGATAAATCAAGATTTTATTTATTTATCGGATCTCTATCCCGCCATCCGAGCCAGAGCCGGCTCAGGGTGGCTTTACGTAAAAACAGATAAGTTACCTTAAAACATAAATTACAATGAAAACAATTCTAAAAAACCATCTAACGTAACAAAGTGCTAGTAGTCGTTAGCGTTACTTTGATGGTGGCAGCCATTATTCGATGCTCTCAACTCACGGCTAGTGGTTAAGTGCGCGGACTCTAATCTGGGAGAACCGGGTTTGATCCCCCACTCCTCCACTCGCAGCTGTTGGATGACCTTGGGCAAGCCCTAGTTCTGTCAGAGCTGTTCTGTCAAGAGCAGTTCTAGGAACGAACTCTCTCAGCCCCACCTACCTCACAGGGTGTCTGTTGTGGGGAGGGGAAGGGAAAGGAATTTGTAAGCCTCTCTGAGACTCCGAGTGAAGGGCGGGGGGCATAAATCCAATCTCTTCTTCTTCTTTCCAATTGTCCTTAAGGCGGTTGATGTCCTTTAGGCTGTTGGTGGAAATTCCAGGAATCCAGAGGGCCCTCTCTCATTCTACTGTTAGTTGTTAATTATTGATAGTGGTGGCAGCACCTGAAAGCCTGGTGGAAGAGCTCCGTCTTGCAGGCCCTGCAGAACTGTAAGAGGTCCCACAGGGCCCTGATCTCTTCCGGGAGCTCATTCCACCAGAACGGAGCTGCCACCGAGAAAGCCCTGGTCCTGGTTGTCGACAGCCTAGCCTCCTTAAGACCCAGGAGGGCCAGTTGGTTCTGGGCCCCTAATCGCAGTGCTCTCTGTGTTAGTCTGTCGAGTAGGAGCCCAGTAGCCCCTTAAAGACTAATCTATCAATACAAAATGCAGAACAACATAGAAAATAGGAAAAAATGTAAAACTGTAAGGTTTAGTGAAAATAAAATAATTATAACATTATGCAGTCCATAGATTACAGTACATACTGCAGCAATTTTAACTATTCCTTATAACATTTAAAGGTCTACTAAGTTAGTGGTCATTCCATGCCATTTTGTTTTGTGCAAATTGTCTATGAATGAAATAGACAGAAATTGAACAGTAACAGACAGTTCCACTTCTAAGCGTGCTCCTGCTTTACTCACAAGAAGGCTGTCATCCCCGTCCTTCACCCCTGCAGGTACAAGATCCCCACAAAAACTGGACACGAGTTTTTCAGCTGAAAAAAGAACCGAGCCCGTGGCCTAGACTCCCTTCCGGCTACTTCCAGATGCCTTTCAACACATTCATCCAAAGAATTTCTGGGAAGGAAGTCGACGAACAGGTTAAAAATAAACTATGCCTAAGGTGCGACGTACCGGCCGGTCCTGGTGAAGGAATGCATGAAGAAATTCTCCAGCTGCAGGACGGCGCCCAAGTCCTCCGGGAACGTTCAGAGTTATGCACAGGAAAGGCATCCAAGCGCCGGCGCATTGACCAGCCCACAAGCCGCCCTCCGACACTCATGTCGGACTCTGCAGCTTTGCCGAAAACATTTCCTTTTAAAGGGACAGGAAAGGTGATGCCAAACTTCGGATTAAATTCCCACACGGGGAGGAAATTGATTGCGCGCAGTGTGTCAGAGAGAAAGAAAAGCAGAAGTCGAATTCACACGAACTCCCTAACCCCAGGAGGAGGGGTGTGTGTGGAACGTTTAGCCCCTTGGCGTAAGCAAGCCTTAGGAAGAAATCTCTCTGCTTATAAACAGAGTAAGAAAATCTAGGAAAAGTGACTCACAGAGGCAGTGACTCTTTCAGTCTGCTCTGAGTTTTGCAACAGACACTCCAAGCGATCTTTATTCAGAGGTCCAAAGCCTCATCCCGGAGGGAGAACACAGCAGATTAAATGGCTCTGCTCATCAACTTCTTTGGGGGAAACAAGCCAGAAATAATGATGCTCTGACCCCAGAAGACAGTGACCCATAAGAACAGCCCTGCTGGATCAGACCAGTAAGGGTCCATCTACTCCAGCATTCTGCTTCACGCAATGGCCAACAAGTTCTTCTGGAGAGCCAGCAACAGGTCATGGAGGCCAAGGCCTTCCCCTGATGCTGCCTCCTGGCACTGAGATTTACAGGTTGACTGCCTCTGAATGTGGAGATTCTCTTTAGTCATCATAGCTGGTAGCCACTAACGGACCTCTCCTCCATGGAACGGTAGATTTAAATGCAGTTCTTTGTTTGGGGGACAAGGAAAACGGTCTACACAGCCAAGATGCTGTAAAATTCACCTCTGTGCTTGAAAGGTGATGGACGGGAATGGATTCTCACAAATTTGGGCACATCAATCTCCAGTCTGACATATTTATTACCTATGTCCCCCCCCCCAGTTGAACTGAAACAAGATGATAACCAGGAATTAAGCTTGCCATTCTTTTCATCTGAGAAGAGAAGAGAAGATTGGATTTATACCCCACTCTTCACTACCCATGGGAGTCTCAAAGCAGCTTACAAACTTCCCCTCCCCACAACAGACACCCTGTGAGGTAGGCGAGGCTGAAAGAGCTCTGACAGAAACTGCGCTTTTTCTAGAACAGCTCTTGTCAGAACTATGGCTTGCCCAAGGTCATCTAGCAGCTGCAAGTGGAGGAGTGGGGAATCAAACCCGGTTCTCCCAGATTAGAGTCCGCGCACTTAACCACGACACCAAACTGGCTCCGTGTCCTCACTATTTTGCATGCTAATTTAGCAAACCACTCCTATATATACAACTACGATATATAATTCCATTGCGTCATCTGACGAAGTGTGCCTGCACATGAAAGTGCACGTGTTGAATAGAACCTTGCTGGTCTTAAAATTGCCACTGGACTGGACTCTAACCTTGTTCTCTCCCCCATGCATCTGTCTAACCCCCTTTTGAAGCCATCTCTGCCTGTGGCCATCGCAACGTCCTCTGGCAACGAATCCCACCCTTCAATCACGTGTCTAGTAAAGAAGTATTTCCGTTCGTCCATCCTGAATCTATGGCCCATCAACCTTATCGGAAGCCCCGGAGATCTGGAATTTGGGGAGGAGGAGAAAAGGTCCTCTCTCTCCACTCTCTCCAACCCCTGCATAAATTTTAGAAACCTCCGTCATGTCCCCCCTTCATTGCTGTTCAGTCCCACAGTCGAGTCCAATTCTTCGCGACCCCATGGACCATGTCTCGCCAGGCCTTCCGGTCTTCCGCCGTCCTCTGAAGTTGGCTCAATTTCATGTTCGTTGCATCGATGACACTGTCTAACCATCTCATCCTCTCGCCGTCCCCGTCTTCTTTGACCTTCGATCTTTCCCAGCATCAGGGTCTTCTCCTCCAGTGAGTGCTCCCTTCTCATTGGGTGGCCAAAGTATCTGAGCTTCAGTTTCATTATCTGGCCTTCCAGGGAACAGTCAGGGTTGATTTCCTTTAGGATTGACTGATTGGATCTCCTTGCAGTCCAAGGGACTCTCAAGAGTCTTCTCCAGCACCATAGTTCAAAAGAATCTATTCTTCGGCGCTCGGCCTTCCTTATAGTCCAACTCTCGCAGCCATACATGACTACTGGGCATACCATTGCTTTGACCATGCGGACTTTTGTTGGCAGGGTGATGTCTCTACTTTTTATCATGCTGTTTAGTCGTCTCTTTTCTAAACTAAAAAGTCCCAGATCTCTTCAGCCTTTTCCACGTAGGGA